TTGGGGTGGGGGGGAGGGGTGCCTTAATTAGATCAGCTGAGAGCCACTCTAATTAAAGCGCCTGCAGCATCATGTGTATTTAGAGTCCCACGCTTCAGAATGGTGGCAGCAGCGCTTCAACTAAAGCTCGTTCAATGAGCTTTAGTTAAAGTGTCCCCCCTGCCAGTTTGAAATTAGCACACTCCAGCAGACTTGCAGCAAAGTCAAATAATCGAGGTCTGCTCCAACATGTGCTAATTAGTACACATCAGAGCAGAGCTCCTTCACATATATAGATGCCCAGTGTGCCTTTGTTGTGAAGAAGACTAATGGCATATTAGGCTGCATTAGTTGGAGCATGGCCAGCAAATCAAGGCATGTGATTATTCTCCTCTATTCAGGACTGATGAGGCCACATCTGGAGTCTTGTGTCCAGTTTTGGGCCCCCACTACAGAAAGGATGTAGACAAATTGGAGAGAATCTAATGGAGGCCAATGAAAATGTTTAGGGGGCTAGGGCACATGACTTCTAAGGAGAGGCTGAGGGAACTGGCCATGTTTAGTCTGGAAAAGAGAAGACTGGGCGGGGTGTGCGGGATTTAATAACAGCCTTCAACTATCTGAAAGATGGTTCCAAGGAGGATGGAGCTGGACTTTTTTCAGTGGTAGCAGATGACAGAAGAAGGAACAATGGTCTCAAGTTGCAGCAAGAGAAATGTAGGTTAGATATTAGGAAAAACTCTCTCACTAGGAAGGTGGTGAAACCCTGGAACAGGTTGCCCAGAGAGGTTGTGAAATATCCATTCTTGGAGTTTTAAGACCCATCTAGATAAAGCCTTGGGTGGGATGATCTAGTTGGGGATGGCCCTCTTTGAGCTGCTAGTCCTGAAGCTTCAGCCCTTCACACACACAACTATGAATCAGTTTTTAATCATTAATATTTGGGACAGTTTAATTGTTACATGTGTCCTCACTAAGTCAGAAGGAGGGAGGGTCTGCGGAGGGGCGGCGGGGAGAAGGATGCAATATAGCCTTGCGGAGAATGAGAAAACCAAGTCTGAACTAAACCCTGTAACAAGGACCCCCTGCCCTGTTATGAGGAGCATGAAAGGGAGCTCCAGGCAAAATGCCTGCAGGAGACAGTCTGACTGGGTCGTATGCAAATCTGGGGAGTGAAAAGGAAGCAGTTAGGGAGGCTCCTAGTTGAGGGAGAAGTAATAAACTGGGGATGTGGGGATTTTGTTACAGAGGTGTTAGGTTGTCATTTATGTCTTCTTTTCCCTTGCTGGGTTTCCCTCCCCAGAGAAAGGGTCCCAAGTGTCACGGTGGAACCCGAACGAACAGGCTGGGTCTAGCGGCGGTGGAGTTCTGAGTGACACGGAAGCTGGATGTCCCTTAATTGAATAGGTTTATTAACTTACGCTTGGTAGAGCGCAGGTACGGAGTCTTCAGTTACAGTTAACAACACACAACAGGGGGGACCTGTTGTCCTACGGGGTTCGCCGACAGGCCCTTGCTTTCTACTCCCGGTGCCGGAGCCCGGGAATAGGTGCGGCTGCCTGTCAGGTAAGTCCCAGGGATGGTCAACAGTTTAT